CGTTTGAAGAAAAGATGAGACTGTTTGGCAATAGCTTATAAGTATGTTAATCTGCAAATGATGTTATAGATGCTGTGCATATATTTTTAGAATAGACCTTGATAGACCAAATAACAGACTTCTTTGGCATCTAATATAGAAATGATATTTTATCCTGAACTCATCATTTCCTATCATTTTAAATAATGTTGAATTTCATTTAATGTTACAGCTTTTGAAACATGGCAAAATTTGTTCCGAACAGACAATTCAAGTTCTAAATTAGCACTGTTGCAAATTGGAAGTTCCTTGATTTACCATTTGATTACCAGTTGTTTCAGTAATAAAAATGGGAATAGTAACAACCTCATTAGGTTGAGGTAAGGAACAATTAATTGAAATGAATGCAAAACCTTTGAGGCAAAAAAGGGTTAGTGACACAAGAGAATATTAAAATTAGTTGAAGGGGGAGATAATATTTAATAGGTACACAGTGACATATCCAGATCAAATAAATTCAATAACGATGGCAAAAATACAGATCATGAAATCAAATTATTTTGTTTAAACTTAAACTAGAAGGTTGACAATAGTATTTTTGTAAAGTGTGCTTATGTCTCTGAAGACTTAAAAGATCTAGAGATAATTACTAAAACTGAACAACACTAATTATCAGCGGTAAGATTCACAATCAATGATCATTCATTAAGCATCAACTTGGCTATGCACGGCCAGACAAAAAAAGGCCAAGGTCCACGCCCACGAGGGGTCTACCATCAGACCTGAGAGACGAGGCCCAGGTAATATAAGAGCTCAGGTCCATGCCCACCAGGGGTCCGCCATCAGGCCTGAGAGACAAGGCCTGGTTAGCATAAGAGCGTCTATAGACATTGCAGCCATCACTGTGCTAGCCATATCGCACTGTCACCTTTTTCTTGCTTTCTCTGTTGGACTTTAAGCTTCTCAAGGATCCGTGTGATACTTAGCTTGGCACACTGAGGAGATTAAAATGGAAGTACTGAGTACATTGACAGAAGGACTTAAGGACATGTAAGACCAAACAAAATTAAATAATATCATTAAGAAGTTATTAAGCCTTTGGGAGGCTGAGGTAAGTGGATTGCCTGAGCCCGCGGGTTTGAGACCCGCCTGGGCAACTTGGTGAGACCTCATCTCTACAATAAATCAAAAAATCAGCCGGGCATGGTAGCGCGCACCTGTAGTTCCAGCTACTTGGAAAGCTGAGGCAGAAGGATCACTGGAGCCCCGCAGGTGGAGGCTGCGGTGGCCGGGAGCGGCCACTGCACTCCAGTCTGGGTGACAGAGACTCCAACTCAAAAAAAGTTATTAAGAAAACCGTCTAGAACACAGAATAGGCGCAGCTGATTTCCAGTGGTAAGGCCGGCAAATGCTTCGTGACCTTAGTCATGAACTCAGGCAGGAGGCGGAGTTGTCAGGAACCTAACAGGAATCAGTGGGGGAAGCAGCGTTCCTGTGGAGGTAAAAGCATAGAAAGTCCAAAGCGTGGAAAAAGGAAGAGTAATGCCAGACACTCTGGTCGAAGGGGAGCTGGGTGTCAGGAAAGCTGAGTAAGTCCATTCTTCTGCAGACAACAGGGAGTCACAGAAAGTCTGGGCAAGCAAGCAGCATGACAGGACTTGAAGCGAAAAGACACTAGATCCAAATAGAACAGCCATCTAAGAGACTGTAGGTCGGAGGTCAAAAGGACCTGAAGAGGGGCAGTAAGAACGGAACAGAGCTGAGGAACGTGAGAAAGTCACACGCAGTAAAACAGAAGATACATTTAAAACAGAAAACGTACATCCCCTCCCATCCACGCCTGTCTCCCCGACATCCCGCCGTGACTTGACCTGGAACACTGCCAGCCTCTCACTGCTTTCCAGGTCCCTCTCTCACTCCACCCTCGCTCGCCACAGGGCAGCCACGATCTGCTGGGCGTTCACAGCCCTGCTCGGTGCCCTCCAGCAGCCTCCCGCTGAACGACAACCAAGTCCAGACTTCTTCCTGAGGCCTGCAAGACCCTCCGGCTTCTGCTGCCCTCTCAACCTTGTCTTCACACCTGCTGGATGCAGCCACGCCTGCCTTCTTTTGGTTCCTCCACGCACTGAGCTCGTCTTCATCAGGGAAGGGGCACTGGCTGCTCCCTCTGCCTGGCGTGCTCTTCGCATAGCGGCCTTTAAACTTTTTCACATCTCGGCTCACATGTCATCTTCTCTGAGACAGCTTCACGGCTCCCTGTTCCTAGCATGGCCATCCTGCTGGTCCTTGTCCCTCTAACTAGCCTCTACCCTGCTTTATTCTTCTGGGCACTGGTCACCTTCGTACTTATCCTCCTTGTTCAGACAGGCTTGCTGTCTCACACCCTGAAGTTCACGTTCTGGGATACCAGGTCTCCGACTGTGTTGTTCACCACTCCACTGCCCCCAATGCCAAGAGCAAGCCTGGAACACAGCAGACACTCAACATGGATTTTTTACAAAGCCAAAATTCTGATCACAGAGGCTAGTGAACAAGTAATGCTGCATCATCTTCTCCAAGCTGTACTTCTTTTCTTTTCCTGTTGTATTATGAACCACCTCACAAAGTAGACTAAAAAATGCAGATTTTAGATGGTGTGGTATCTTATCAAGATGCAAAGCAGCAAAATTATACAAGGTATTCAACTTTTGCTGCAAAATAATTTGGTGGCCTTAAAATAAGACTGACCAGCTTACCCTACAAGCGAAGTTATATTTGCCACAAAATTTATACAGAAATCGCAAGGAAAGCAGTGGCTCGCTCCTGTACTTTGAGAACAATTTGGGAGACCGAGGCAGGAAGACTGCTTGAGCCCAGGAGTTCGAGACCAGCCTGGGCAATACAGTGTGACCCCATCTCTACAAAACCCAAAATTAACTAGGTGGCGGGGGCATGCATGTAGTCCCAGCTACTTGGGTGGCTGAGGTGGAGGGATAGCCAGAGCCCAGGAGGTCAAGGATGCGGGGAGCTGTGATTGTGCCATTGCACTCCAGCCTGGTGACAGAGTGCGACTCTCACTCAAAAAGAGGAGAAAGAAAGAGAAAGGAAAAGGCAAGGAGAGGTGCTCTAAATGAGAGAGCCGTGGGAGACCTTCCCTCCCTGTGCTATAAGCCCCAGGTCTGGCTGACTCTGTTGACCTGGTTTGCCATGTTAATTAAAATATACCACAGGAGATAAATTTTAGGGGAAAAATTCACTCTATATATGTATCTGTGTGTATTTTGTATTCTTAAAAGAAAAATACGTAGAAAATATAAAAGCTCTCGAGTACTAACACTTTCTTACATAACAAAGCAGAAATGTCTAAGCTAAACAACCAGAAGAGTGAACAAGCTCCCACGCCACTTCCTGTTGGGTGTGGCTATCTGAGTTTTCTTTTCTCCCTTTCCTGCTATTTTCTTGAACCAGTCTGGACCCCATGGGCTCCAGCTGTGACTGTATCAGTGCCTCGGCACCTCCATTTTCTTTTGCTATCTGTAGAGAGTTATTATAATCCTGCTCAGATAGAGCAGTCTGAAGGTGTCAAGTGTCTTAAGATGACTCCCTGTTTTAAAAAGATGACTTACTGCTTGGTTAGCAGTGTCTACTGCACATTTTATTTTCCGAGGCCTGTTACACTACCACTGACTACCCACCTACCTGCTTAAATGATTAACGAGGAAATTCCTTCGTTTTACTCAAGGATTCATTGAGTACCTCCCCTGTGCCGGCACAATGCTGCTCCACCTTCTGCAACTATATACTAGAAATCAAGCACTACCAGTCAACGCCTCTGGGAGTAGCTTCCTCATAAAAAGAGGTTACTCCAGAGTTGCATGCATAACTCAGGCTAGCAAAAGTGATCCCCTGCCTTCCAACCCACATCCACTAACACTGCCAGTTATTAGCAGTTTTGCTGTACTCTAAATCCATGATGGCTCTGAATTCTTTTCATTTTAAAATACAAAATCTTACTCATTAAACACGTAGTACAACCTTAACTACAGTCCACGTCGCCTCACCATTCAGTGTTTGGGACGAGGAAAGAGATAAGTGTCAGAGGCCAGAGGCCTTAACATTGTAACAGATGAAGCAGGAACTGAACGAGGAGGGGTGCACACAGGCAGAGCTACAGAAGAGTCTGGGGGACACGAGGAGCCCCACAACTGCTCTTACCTGGCTAATCCCAGATCCCAAGGATTACATCAAATTCACTGAAGTGCATATAATGGTTCACAGTTTGAAGTGAAAGTCTATCTAACTTACTATCTTTACTGTACATACTTATTAATCCACAAAAGTCCTGTGAAGGTGGTTACTGTTATCCCCACTGCACAGAAGAGGAAGCTGAGAGGGAACTATGTTGACAGTAACCTCCCTAAAATTACAGCAGATGGCAGCTAGGACACTCCCAGGATCTTCTGACAAAAATTCCATGTTCTTCACCCTGTATGACTCAGAAAGATGAGTTCCCATATATTAAAGATATGGATATCAGCTACAATCTCAGTAAGAGAATGGTAAATTCTGGGTAGACTGAACAAAGAGGTTGTTTGCAACCCTAAATAGTTTCAAAAGGCAGAGAAATATGGAGGGTAAGAATAATAACTGTCATTTAAAAAGCAATTTGGTGAGAAAGAGATTCAAATTCATAAATCGAGATAAAATTTTTCAAGCAATAACAATATAATGACTGCACAATATCACCTTACACAGATGCACATGACTTCAAACTGGAAATTAATAAAACTAATTAAATATTATTGTAAGATAATCAACATTATAAATACAATTTACTCTGAAAAAGGGAACATAGAAATCTATACTGTAAGAACAGAAAATAATACTTATTTTCACAATTTAGTCCAAAAAAGTTTGTTATTAACACAAGTAGAAAACTACATTCAATTAAAACTCTCCTATAGATTTAGTATCTGCTAAAGTTACAAAAGGATAACACCTATTTGAATTACTGAAAGTAACACATAAACAGTTCTACATACGTTCGTTTGACATCCTGTTCAATCATTGATCGAAGTTCCTTATCTTGGAAGAATTTGTTCCAAAGACTCTGAAAAAGGAAAATAACCTACTTAAAATAACTTCACATTTTTGCTTGACTTTCATGATTTCAATTTAATAATTTAAGTGATTAAATTTACTTTTCTCTGAGTTATTCAAATTGGAGGTAGGAAACCTGACAGTGGGATAATTTTTATTAAAATCTAGCTTTAGTTCAGAAATACATCCTTATTCTAACATCGATATTCCCAGTTTGATACAACTGAATATGGCCAGCCCTCCTTATTTATGGGTTCCACATCCAAAGGTTCAACCAACTGTGGATCGAAAAATATTGGGAAAAAAACAAAATTAGGAAAATATAAAAAATAATACTAAAAATAAGACATGATAAAAATCAAAATAAAACATATTTTCAAAATGAAAAATAATACAAATCGGGGTCAAGCATGGTGGCTCACACTATAATCCCAGCACTTTGGGAGGCTGAAGTGGGAGGATCATTTGAGGTCAGGATTTTGAAACAAGCCAAGGCAACGGAGTGAGACCTTGTCTCTACAAAAAATTCCAAAAATTAGCTGGACGTGGTGGTGCATGCCTGAAATCCCAGGTACTTGGAAGACCAAGGCAAGAAGATCGCTTAAGCCCAGGAGTTTAAGGTTACATGTGAGATATGACGGTACTACTGTACTCCAACCTGAGTGACTCTGTCTCAAACAAACAAAAAAGCAAACAAGCAATTAAATAAACTAATATAAATTTTTAAAACAACCTTTTATACCATTTACATTGTATTAGGCATTAGAAGTAATCTCAAGATGATCTGAAGTATATGGGAGAATATACTTCATAGGTCATATGGAAATATCATGACATTTTGTATAGGGGGTTTGAACATCTGCATATTTCAGCATCCATGGTAGCCATGGGGGTCCTGGAAGCAACCCCCACGGATACTGAGGGACGCCTGTACATCCTTAATATTTCTTTTTTTTTAAATATATCAATATTTTTTATTTTGATATTGTGGGGTACAGTTAAGGGTTAGGTAATATGCTTCATTCAGGCACCCTTGTTGATAAGGGGTGTTTCCCCATCCCCAGACAGATATTACTACCGTTAATCCCACCTCCCTTCCCCTCCCTCACCCCATAGTTTCCTACCACTGTCAGTCCTTTTTTTATAGTATTACAATGGATATTCAAGGTCCACTATATGAGTGAGAACATGTGATACTCAGATCTTTGTTTCTGTGAGAGGTCACTCAGTATTATAGACTCTAGTTACAACCAGGTTGCTGCGAAATTCATGATTTTGTTCTTTTTTATGGCTGCGTAGTATTCCATTGTGTATGTACCACATTTTTTTAATCCAGCCCTCTTTTGATGGACAGCATGGTTGATTCCAGGTTCTTGCTATTGTGAACAATGCTGCGATAAACATACGTGTGCAGGTATCTTCATATGAACAGACACTTCTCAAAGGAAGACATTCGAAGAGCTAGCAGACACATGAAGAAATGTTCAACCTCACTAATCATCAAGGAGATGCAAATCAAGACCACACTGAGATACCACCCAACTCCAGTCAGAATGGCAATTATCAGTAACTAAAAAAATAACAATTGCTGGAGAAGGTGTGGTGAAAAGGGAACACTCCTACACTGTTGGTGGGAGTATAAACTAGTGCAACCTCTGTGGAAAACTGTGTGGCGATTCCTAAAAGCTCTAAATATCGACCTCCCATATGACCCCACAATCCCCCTACTGGGAATATACCCTGAAGAACTCAAATCACTCTATAAAAAAGATACCTGCATCCTTAACATTTCTATGATCTATCAAAAATGAAAGACACTTTTCACTGCTGTACACTACTGCCTACTATCCTATAATCACAGAAATGTGCTGGATTAAAGCAGGACCCATGGGCCAACTGACCTCAACTTGAACCTGACCTGAATTCCCAATAAACTAAGAAAGATATGTAATATTTTCTATAAAGCTTGATTTGATAAGCCTGTAGGTTTTAATGTACTTTTTATTTTATTTTTTATTTTTTGAGTTGGAGTCTCACTCTGTCGCCCAGACTGGAGTGCAGTGGCCGCTCCCGGCCACCGCAGCCTCGACCTGCTGGGCTCCGGCGATCCTTCCGCCTCAGCCTTCCGAGTAGCCGGAATTACAGGCATGCGCTACCACGCCCGGCTGATTTTTTGATTTACTGTAGAGATGAGGTCTTGCTGCCCAGGCGGGTCTCGAACCCTCGGGCTCAGGCAATCCACTCACCTCAGCCTCCCAAAGGCGCGGGATTGCAGGCTGAGCCACCGAGCCCGGCTTAATGTACTTTTTAAAATGTGAATTTAAGGGAAAGTCTTTAAAATTACTTAATATTTTATGCTCCTAAACCAAAGACTCTATTATACTCGTTATATACATCAAAAACAAGAAATGCTAACATTATGCATTAAATGGGAAAAAATTTCGGTTCTCAGGTAAATCGGAGCAGCAACAATTGAAGGAAGTTGTATCATATCTCTGAAGTGGTAACTGTTCCTCGTCTTCCCTGGAGTAGGAGTAGAGGTAGACATGCCTACCTTCTCCCGACGTGTTTTAAGTGTCGCCCCAGACTCACTGCTCTTCCTGGGAGCGAACCTCGCCAAATGAACCCTGCTCTATGTTCATTCCTCAGCCACCGAGGCCCCGGCAACCTTGATAAGACAGGCCTGTCCTCATCCCAACCTCAGTTCCTACAGAGCCCCGGGACTTCTCCGCCACGCCATTCCACAGGAACAGGTAGGACATTCCCTAAGCACTGTGTGTACATAGCAGAGACAAGTTTCCACAAGGTACACGGAGGCAGGAAACGGCTGGCGCGAAACACTGGCTTTCCGGGCGACAGACAACCAGTCAGACAGACACGCCCTTCTGGGCAAAAGAGGCGGAGACGGCAATGAGGTCGCGCTTTACCCCTTCGTCCTGTGACAGCGGGTTATTGACCATCAAGTCCTGCTGACCAACAGCCTTCCTCGGGTTTGTAATGTGCTGGCGAAGAAAAGAAAACACACGCACGGGGTCAGAGGCTCCTGGACCTTACGCGTACATAAGAAAGAAAACAATGACGCTAATTCAATGTACTATTTACTTACTATTTCTTTAATGTTGTTATACCACGCTCTAAATTCATTAATTCTACTTATCCACTGACTTTTATCTTGAGGAAGAACACAAAGAAACAGCTGTCAAGAAAAAAAGAAGAAACTTTCCTAAAAATCATGAGATAAAGTGTGAAATTATGCCAGCCAGAATCACCTGAAAATTGAAAGAGATATAATATTTATGGTATTTTGTATTCATATCATCTCAACTCCCCGTACTTATATTGGGGATAATTAAGAAATAAAGAAAAAGAAACATATAATCAGAAAATTCAAAAAATGAACAAAGAACACAAAACAGGACCTCAGAAGCTACACCACAAAATGAAATCTACAGGTTTTAATATATAAAAGGAGGAAAAATAGTGAGGTTCAAGTGTAATTCACATTTAGATTCTCATCCAAACAGAGTGTCAGAGGCTAAGGTCCCGTTAGAGACGGCCTGGCTTAAGGTTCTGTCTTAGACAAGCAAGCCAAGGACAGCAAAGAGCAGGCTGAGGACCAGGGACACAGCTGAGATGCAAGGACATTCCTGTTCCAGCAAAAAAAATGTAATTTTCAACTGGCAATCAGCGTAAGAAAATCACAAGCATTCTTAAAAAGACAAATTTGATTTAATTTAGTTTAATACAAGGCTAAAATGAATCTGGGTTTAGGTTTATTTTTAGCAGATGAAGTATACTAAAAGTTAAACAGGGAATGGGGGTGGGACACAAATATTTGTATACAAATATTCTAGCAGCAGGTCTCCTGCCTTTACTGCCTTTATCTAAAAGAAGAAAAATGTATTTTAATTATTAAATCTAAATTATTAAATCTGAAACTGTCTAATACATCATGTGTTTCTTACCTAGTTTGCTTGCACAGACTAGCATGCCCAATTTATGCTGATAACCCTAAAAACTTTTGACAAAATTCATTTTAGAACTGAGTCTAAATCTAAACATATTCATTTTTGGAGAACAAAAAGATAAGATTTCAAAGTAATCAAAAAGAGAACTGCCGATTACTATTATTAGTTTTGGTAACCAATGGCCCTTTCGCTCCGAAGGACCCAGTGTCCTTCCACTGCTTCTTGCTGTCACTCAGGATTTCTAGCAAAATAAATTTGAAAAACCTTTTCCATCTGCTATTTATGAGAAAAAAGGGAAGAGAACTAAATGGTGGCAACTGACGTAAGGGGGACCTGAACAGTGCCCCCCCCCCACTCCCTTCTCCTGCCCAGCTCCCAGAATTTCTACCAAGCCTTTGGGAACCTAAGAGTGGTGCTCTGAGTTCTGCACCACCAAAACAGATGAAAAGATAAGTCACTGCACGGGGCTCTGTCCCCATCGGCAGCTCCTCAGAACTAAGGTAGCTCAGCCTTGTTGGTAAATATCCTGCAAAGGACACACACCAACGGCCAAACGGGCGATCCCACAAGGCTGATCTTCCAGGGCACCGGGTAATGTGCTGATATATTGCAACCACAAACTGTAAATAAATATTTTCTTCTTACCTTCCAGCAAATGCTGCGGAACCTGCTGCTTCTCAGCTGCCCATTAATCCCCTTCTGCCTTATTGTTGCCAAGTAATTGTTGTTTACAAATAGTTCTTCCCATTCTTTCCTGTATGAAGAAACCAAAGCATGGGGATCCTTTTGTTAAAATTCTTCTGCTTGCAGAGGAGTGCTACAGGAAATTAATTTTAAATAAGTCTAAGAAATGCAACTTTTAAAACATATATATTTAGTTGTGTACTGTTTCTGAATGCATGGCTGTCTTTTTGGACACAGTTCTTCTGTAGATTTAATGAATATGTAGATAGCTATAATTACGCCAGCTACTGAAATTTGCAATGTCTCGGAGGCTATTCCATTTCCTCTAAAATGTTGATAGTGCAGTTCAGTGAATAAACAAGTAAAAAATGAATATTAATATAAATAGATGACTAGCCACTGACAAAGACATACCTGCTCCAAAAATATACAACAAAAAAGTGTCACGTGAAATATGTTTGAATGAACCTGTTTCTCTTTAACGTCAGGCTGGGCAGTTAAGTAAATAGAAGACCACTTCCTTCAACTGTTGGTGCTACTTGCTGTTGAAATCTCTGCGACTTCTTTCTACATGATCAGTTTTAAAATTTTAACAGGTGTGGGTAAATTTGAAACAAAACACCAAAAAATTAAAAAGACTCAATGTAAAAACTGTTAAAGGCAAGCCTGAGTACCTTGCAGTACCTATGGCTGGGGAGATAAACAACTGAATAAGCCTCCCAGGCATGCAGGCACCAGGGGCCTAACACCTGTGCCTCATTAATAGACAAGTAAAGCTGCTCTACTGGGAAACAATTGGAAATTAATTGTCCCAAACCATTTACTGAGATTGAATAAAGGAATTAGACCTGTATTCCCTACATCTTGCACCAAACTAAACCTGAAGAATCATCTGAGTTGCAGCTACTGAGATCAGCTTTATGATATTTCTCTCAAATTCCACCATGCCGCAATAAACTTATAATTTAACATTTGTTGTCAAAGCTGAAGCCCTGGCAGCAATCTCTTAACAAAGACTTCCTAAGAAGAAAGTCACAAAATCCTCAGTCATCCTTCTACTTGCATGCTGTTGTCACTGACCAGACCCTACTCATTGTGAGAAAGGACAACCTCGCACACAGGCTTAGCCATGAGCAGAACCCGCTGCACACCAAAAACTCGGGAACCTAACACTGGGCAAGATGGATCTTCTCTGTGCAGTTCCAGAAGAGAGACTGGAGACAGTGGGACTTTCCCTTCCACTATGAGCAGAACCTCCAGCCCTTGCTTGACTCGGTAGCACTGACCCTCAATTGCAGCAGGCCTTCTACCCGCAGGGACTTCTGGCGAAGTCTGCCAAACAGAACACACGCCAAACCGGATGAAGCACATTTCCATCGCCACCCATGGGAATTCCTTATTCTCATCACTCTATTAGTGAGGAAAAATAGCTTTTATTTTAACTTGCATTTTTACTATTAGTGAAACTGAAAAATATTCCTGTTTGGGAATATTCAGTTTATCCTTTTCCAACGCTTCTTTTCTTGTCCTGTGTCCATGGTAAGTAGGATAGGTGAACAGCTAAGAGCCAACCATGAGATCAACAGGACAGCAATGCACCAAGAAAAAGGAGGCAGCTTACTAGATACACTTGCCAAGCGTGCAAGCATGGGCGAGATTCTCCACCTCCCTGAGCCTCAGTTTCCTTAAATTGGAATGATAAGAACATCTATCCCAAAGAATGACTGCGAAGATTAAACGAATACATGAAAAGCCCTCTAAAGAATACTCAGCACTTAACACTTCTTTTTTCTTTTTTAAATTAAGAGACAGAGTCTTGCTCTGTCGCCCAGACTGGGTTCAGTGGCACAATCATAGATCACAGTAACCTCAAACTCCTGGGCTCAACAATCCAGCCACCTCAGTCTCCTGAGTAGCTGGAACTGCAGGGGCACACCACCATGCATAGCTAATTATGTTTACATTCTGTAGAGACAGAGTCTTGCTATGTTGCCCAGTTGGTCTCAAAACCCCAGCCTCAAGCAATCCTCCTGCCTCCACCTCTCAAAGCACTGAGATTATAGGTGTAAGCCACCACACCTGCCCCAAACTTTTAAAAATTAGTATTACTGTTAATAATAATATTGCTTTTATTTTAGTGTGCCTTATTGTTAATCCAAGAGAGAGGGTTTCATATATTAAAGACATCATACCTCTGCTGGTCGATTTTTTTAACCCAACTGTCTTGATTTTTAATACATAAAGCTTTTTAATTTGTATAAAGTTAAAATCAAAAATTACTTTCTCTAACTGATCAATCTATTGTTTTCCCTGACTTAATTCTTAGTTAATCCAAGATCAATGAAAATGTCATCAAAACTTTGGGGGCTTTGCTTTACCACTTAATTTTTTAATTTACATATATTTTTTTAACTTTTAATTTTTTATTTTAAAGATGTGAGGTACAATTCATCATTAGGTAAACAAATGTTCATTATGCAGGCACCCTTGTTGATGAGGTGTGCCCCCCCTCCCCAGGCAGATTCCCACTACTGCCAATTTGCTTTACCACTTTAACCCTTTTACGTTATCCATAACATTTTACGTATTTTCCATGTTCACACAACTGGAACACACACCCACATCTCATGTTACTCTAGCACATGGTCACGTCCAAAGAGAAGGAAGCAGTGAAAGCACAAGCACTGGAGGGAAGCAGGCACATCTCACCTCCTGACACGCCACTTGGCTGCACTTCACAGGTCCCGCATTTTTTGCAAATTGAGGTTTCTGGCACTCTGCATCTAACACGTCTACCAGCGTGAGCTTATGTTGTGCCTGTGTCACACTTCGTAATTCTCACAGTGTTTCAAGCTTTTTCGTTGTATCTGTGTTGGTGATCTGTGGTTGGTGTTCTCTGATGCTACTATTCTGACTGCTTTGGGTCACATGTACCACACATGTATAGGAATTTCACTGATCAATGTCCAACCACTCTATTGACCGGCTCGATTCTGGTCTCTCTTCCCTCCCCTCGGTCCTCTCTATTACCAGACACACAGCAGTATGGAAATTAGGCTAATTAAGAATCCCACAATTGCCTCTAGATGTCCAGGTGAAAGGAAGAGTTGTAGGTCTCTCAATTTAAATCAAAAGCTAGAAACGACTAAACTTAGTGAGGAAGGCATGTCAAAAGCCAAGTATGGCTGACAGCTAAGTTAGGCTGAAAGTTAGGGCTCTTGCCCAAGAATCAGCCAAGTAGTGAACGCCAAAAAAAAAAAAAAAAAAGTTCTCAACAGACCCCAAAAGTGCTACTCCAACATGTACCCCACAGCTCTAAAATAAAAAGTAAAAATAAGCACACCAAAAAACAAACAAAAACCCCCCACAAAAAAACCTACTCCGGTAAACACACAAATAATAAGAATGCAGCCCATGGATCAAGGAGTATTCTGACTTTCAAGTCTTAGTATATAAGATATATGTTTCATAGGCTACAGCTTCCATAGATACTGATCTTCTGATGCATCTGAGCAAAGGACACTGAAAGCAGCAGCTTAATTGCTAATATGGAGAAAGTTTGAGTGGTCTAGCTAGAAGAACAAACCAGCCACAATATCTCCTTAAGCCAAAGCCTACCCAGAGCATGGCCCTAACTCTCTTCCATGTCTTGAAGGCTGAAAAAGGCAAGGAAGCTGCCCAAGAAAAGCTGGAGGTTTACAGAAGTCGGTTCACATGGTTTAAGAAAAGAAACCAACTCCACGACATCAAAGTGCAAGGAGATACAAGTGCTGATGGCAAAGTTGCAGCAAGTTCTCCAGAAGGTCTAGCTGAGATCATTGTGAAGCAGGGTACACTAAACAACAGATTTCCAATGGAGAGAACGTATTCTATGAGAAGATCCCATGTAGGACTTTTATAACTAGAGAAGAGAAGTCAGTGCCCAGTTTCAAAAGACAGGCTGACTTTCATGTTAGGGGTTAATACAACTGTGACTTTCAGTTGACACGAATGCTCATTAACATTCCAAAAATCCTAGGGTCCTTAAGCATTATGATAAAGCAATACTATAGGAAAGGGAATGGCAGTAGTGGAAAACTGTCAGGGGAGGGGGGTGGGAGTGGCAGTTGAGGGAAACTGCTATGGGGGGGAGGGGCACACCTCATCAGCAAGGGTACCTGCATAATCAACGTTTGTATACCTGACCCTGAATTGTACCCCATATCTTTATAATAATTTAAAAAAAGAAAAAAAGAAATTATGATAGATCTACTCTTCCTGTGATGTGTAGACAGAAGAAGTCTGGATGACGGCACATCTGTTTATAGCATGGTTTACTGAATCTTTTAAGCCCACTGTGGAGACCTACTGCTCAGAAAAAAAGATTCCTTTCAAAATACTACTGCTTACTGACAACACACCTGGTCACCTAAGAGCTCTGATGGGGATATATAAAGAGAATAATGTTGTCTTCATGCCTGCTAGCACAGCATCCATTCTGCAGTCTGTGGATCAAGGAGTCATTTCGACTTTTAAGTCTTAGTATTTAAGAAGTACATTCCATAGGCTATCACTTCCATAGATAGTGGTCCCCTGATCCATTTGGGTAAACTGAAAACCTTTGGAAGGGATTCACCACTCTGGACACCACTAAGAACATTCATGGTTCATGGGAAAAGGTCAAAATATCCACAAGAGTCTGGAAGAAGTTCATTTCAATCATCATTGATGACTTTGAGGGGTTCCAGACTTAAGTGGAGGAGTTAACTGCAGATGTGGTGGAAATAGCAAGAGAACTAAAATTAGAAGTGGAGCCTGAAAATGTGACCAAATTGCTGCGATCTCATGACAGAACTTGAATGAATGAGGAGTTGCTTCCTAAGGATAAGCAAAGCAAGTGGCTTCTTGAGATGGAATCTACTGCTGGTGAAGATGCTGGGAACACTGCTGAAACGACAACAGAGGACTCAGAATATTCCATAAGTTTAGTTGATAAAGTAGCCATAGGACCGACTCCAATTCTGAAAGGAGTCTGACTGTAGGTAAATGCTGCCAAACAGCAGCGTGTCCTGCAGAGGACTCTTGTGAAAG